CGTTCATTTCCTCCCTAGAGTCTCAGAAGCCCGATGGCCTCCCTTCAGCTTATCCTGTGTCCCCATCACCTTCTGCCCAAGGGTTTCTGCTGATGTGGTGGACTGAATTCACAAGCCATAATCTTGATTTTCTCTTCCAAACATATTTTTGGTTCCCCCCAATATGGATGGGGTAAGATTTTTTTCTAAGTAGTAAAGTTCTAGTTTCCTTTTTATCACATGTATGTTTTTTTTCAATTAATTGTTCTTCAGTTACATTTTTACCACAAATAACAAGGAGAAAACAGACCATAACTTTAGTTCCTGGCTTAGTGATGTCCTCGGTGCTGTATCTGATTCATTGCTTGCTGGTTGTTGTGGTTTGGATCTGGAAGGTTCCCACAAGCTCATGTTTTTAGCACTTGGTTCCCAGCTGTGATGATCTTAGGGAACAGGCATCAGGCTACTGTAAGCTGGTGAGTAGAGGTGGAGCCTGAAGAGCGGACCCACCCCTGCGTCTCTCTAGTGCTGTCTGCTTCTTGCCCACTGCCACGTGAGGAATGCCTACTACGTCCTACTGCCATGAGCTGTAGAGTGCTTTATGCGTTACGATGGTTTGAAACTGTGAGCCAAAGTAAACCTTTCTACCCCAGACTGTTTCTGTCACTTATCTTGTCACAGTGACCAAAAGCAACAACTACATATGTTCTGGTTTTCCCCAAACAATTTGCTTGCTTTCTGCCATTGTTCAAAAGGTATGACCTTCCTTCCAGGTCCCAATAATATGTCCCTTGTTTCTACCTTTCACATCAGAAGTTCCTCGCCAGTCAAACTTCTAGCAGCTGTCTGCTCACAAAGCATGCCTGTTTTCGGAGATGATAGGCGTTTTCTCTGAGTCATCCTCTGTCTTCTTTGAGCCCTGTCCAGAATCGCCCATACCTACATTTCCACCAACAACCTCACCAAGGTGTTCTAGGCTTCTCTGTTGCACATCTCCAAAGTTCCCCATTACTCACTTCCAAAGCCAAGTCTGCTTTTTCAGATATTTCAGCAGCGTCTCTCTCCCAGTGGCAAATCTCTATTTACTTCTATACATGCTAGTATATACATGGTATATACAACACAAGTTTATTGTTCACTGGAATAGAGTCCAGAAGCTTGAGACAAGGTATTGGCTGGATTAGTGCTGAGGGATTTGAGGGAGCTCCATTCCCGACCTTTGTCCTAGCCTCTGCTGGATTTAGGTAGTCTGTGGCACTCCTTGGCTAACATGGGAATCACCAAGATTTCTGCTTTTACTGCCATACAACATTCTCCCAATGTTTCCATGTCTTTTTTTCTATGCTAGTCTGTATTCTTGTAAGAATATTGGTTATATTGGGTTAGGGTCCATGCTAATGATCTTATTCTAATTGGGTCATTCTATGTAAAAAATTGATTTCCAAATGAGGTTGTGTTACAAGATACTGGAGAGTTGGGATTTCACCATGTCTTTTAGGTAAGTACATCACCTAATTCATGTATCTTATTAACAAATTATAAGCAGGGCCTAGAAATACGTGAAAATTTCAAACATTCATTAAAGAAAACCTAAGTAGGGGTTGGTGTTTACTTATTAGCTATTCCATTACTTTAGTATGTAGTAGATATTTTACAGCACCATACCAAATTAATGGAACAGGTTATATATAAATACCTTGTCAGTGAAACCTACCATTTTACACAATATAAATGTTGACAATACCTATAGTACTATGATCAGGAATTATAACTTATCACATGATCTATTCATGTCACATGGCAGATGTAGCAGATACTTTAGAATCTGGTACACAATAATAACTACATTGATATTATAAGTGATTACAGCTTCCATAAGGTTTTAAGGGCTCCACAGCTGGGGGAAATATATTAGTAGGCAGCTATATGCATTACTGTACTAAAAAATGCAAAAGAACTTGAATAACTGAATGTAATTCTGTAAGAAGGTTAGAGGCCTATGGGATTATTTTTAAAAGTTTAGATAATTTCATTTTAATCTGTTATGGAAGTCTGTATTTTATTTTACTCATTTAGATTTAATCCAAGAGGTACCTCAGGAGTCACTAGATTCCCAGCTGGTTTTTATCCATGAAATGATTCAGAAACAGTATGCAAGATGCTGGAAACAAAGAATAAGCCAATTAAGTTCAGTTTTGTGAGATGAAGAAAGGGGAAGAGGGCAAGTAACAAAAGCAGAAGAAAAGTTGGGCGGTGGTGGCACATGCCTTTAATCCCAGCACTTGGGAGGCAGAGGCAGGAGGATCTCTGTGAGTTCAAGGCCAGCCTGGTCTACAAAGTGAGTTCCATGACAGCAAGAACTGTTACACAGAGAAACACTGTCGTGAAAAACCAAAAAAGAAAAACAAACAAATAAAAACAGAAGAAAACCAGCAAGATTTCAAGTAGGCATAAAGGTCAAATGCATAAAGCCTGTACAGAAGGAATGTGAGGAAATGACCACAGTGGGAGAAATAGATGATGGGGTGGAACCAGACTCCACCAAAGCAGATTTGACAGAGCGCCCTAGCAGGAGAGACAGACGTGTGAGACTGAGGAGAAGCCAGCGTGGAGAGAGCTTCAGATAACCAGACAGCTGGAATCGCTGGAGCTAAGTAGGGGGAGGGGAAAGAAGGCCATTTTAAAGGAGGAAAATAGGAGAAGGGAGAGAAAGGATTTCTTGAAGAAGATGTGGGTTTGGATGAGAAGACTCCACTGTATTCCAGTTGCATTGCACATCCATTAGAGGTATCTGTGATTGTAGTAAAACAGACATAAAATTTATGACCTTAACCATTTTGTGTACAGTTCAGAGGTATTAAATGCGTTTGTGTTGCTGGGCTACTATCACTGTCAACCATCTTTCCGTAAACCCTTCTCATCTTTCAAGACTGAATCTTTGTGTCCATTAAACACAAATTCCCCACTCCTACCCTGAGCCTACCATCGTTGGAGATAGAGCAACAAAATGCGTTTTACATTTTAAATGTAAAATTTCAGGGGAGATGGTGAGATGGATAAGGGTGCCAGCATGAGAAACTGAGTTTGAATCCCCAGCATTCATGTAAAAAGCCTGGCATGGATGACTTTGTGTACTGTAACTCCAGCATTGTAGGGGCAGAAACAGGCGGATACAGAGAAATCACCCGGCACAGAGTCTAGCAGAAAGGGTGAGATTCAGGTTGGTGATCCTGTTTCCAATCGTAAGGCAGAGACCAATAGAGGGAGATACTAGATGTTTTCAAGAGTGGAAACTCTAACAGGAAATCCTGTTAGAAAAGTTACAGATGAGAGATGATAGTGAATGAACTATGGTGTGAGCAGAGGACGGGCTGGACTTTGACTTTGGCAGGAAGTCAGAGAGGATAGGGTGATGTGTTGGAGTGACTGTGGGGGAGGACTTTTATTGTCTTTTAGACACATCTAGTCTGAACTGCCTCTGTAACATTCAGGTAGTGATGTCAGTTGGTATAGTATGTATTGAGTGTCCTGGAAAAGTAGGTTAGTAATTATAAACATGGGATGACTACAGTAATAGAGGGAGACTGTTTAGAGAAGAGCCCGGAATAATCCCTTGGACATCCTTTTTTTCAGAAGTTGGTTCCAAAGATGAACCCCATGCATGCTTAGTCATGGTCCCTTTAAATACCCTCATATTGCAGGGTTATAGTTCTGGTCTGAGACAGAAAACAAAGCAACCAACTTTCTCCTTTATATTTTTATTTTATTAAAAAGAACAAAATGATTAGTTTCTGATAGACCAACTTTAAATCCCATCATACTTATCATTAGCCATTTGTACTGGGTGTGGCTTACGGAGGGGTTGCTGCCTCCCTTGTTAATTATTCCTGTGTCTAAGATGAAGCTGAGATAAGAGAGGCATGGCAGAAGTAAGGAGGAATTGTTATCAATTCAAAACTTCTTAGCCGGGCATTGGTGGAGCATGCCTTTACTCCTTGCACTCGGGAGGCAGAAGCAGGCGGATCTCTGTGAGTTCAAGGCCAGCCTGGTCTGCAGAGCGAGTGCTAGGATAGGCTCCAAAGCCACACAGAGAAACCCTGTCTCGAAAAACCAAAAATAAATAAATAGAAAAAAAAAAAAAAAAAAAAAACAACCAACCAACCAAACAAACAAACAAAAAAAACCACCAAAAAATCCCCAAACAAAACAAAACAAAAAACAGAACAAAACAAAACAAAACAAAAACCCAACAACAACAACAAAAAACTTCTTATACTGTGAAGCACTTAATACGAGTGTAAGATGTTCAGGGAAAGAGGAGATAAAGATTGTAACAAAAACGTTTTGATAGGCTGACAGCATGGCGTAGTGGCTAAAGTGCTTGTCCCACAAACATAAGGACTTGAGTTCAGTTCTCTAGAACCCTCATAAAGGGCCAGACTCATAAAGGGCTAGACTCTGCCTTTATGGGGAGTTAAGAGTTAGGGAGTGGAGACTCTCCAGAAATCATGGGCTAGTCCACCACACCTAGTGTTAAAATAATTAGAAACCCTCCCTCAAACAAGGTGGAGGTGAGTATAATCCCACATTATCCTCTAACCTCCACTAGCAGGCTGCCCTGTATGTATCTGCACTCACACAACCTACACCCAAAAGATCTATCCTTTGTTGATTGTCATTCAAGAAGCTAAGCATCCATTTCAGCTTTCCCTGTCATAAAATACGGGATGATATTTGTTTCATATCCCAACCACTAGTTTACTAATTATTTGGGCTATTTGGAAATCCTCTCAGCCCTTGGTTGGAGAAAAGAATTCTGTTTTTTTTTTTTTTTTCCTTCCTGCACATGTTACTTTTTGCCATACTCAAACATTTGGGAAATGGAAATAGGGAAGCAGTGAGCTTCTTTGAAAAACTAAAGATGAATGAAAGAGGAACTATGAAATTAGCGACATGTAACAGGAACTATGGATGTGCTGTGTTACTGCTGTTGCTTATTTTTTTTTTTTCTCCTTTGCTAGGAGACCTGTGCTGCTGATGTGTGTGGCGCTCACCACTCTCCCCAGCTTCAGCTTTTCTATAGCAGTCACCGAGGTATGTGATTTTCATTTCTTCTGCTGCAGGATTCCGTGGTCTTAAAATGCCATGGTTTTGATTTTTCAAGAGAGTAGCATGCACAAAACATTTTCTAAAGTTTATTTTACTCCAATCTCCTTCCAAATTGACATATATATGATTATATACATGATATATATATACACACATATATATGTATATGTATGTATAATCCTTATTGCAAGATAATTATTACTTCTATGATTTGACGATTAGTCTGACACTTTAAAATATTACTTCTGTACCTTGTGAATATGACACAAGAGTATATCTCAAAGTCATAAAGAATAAAAAATCTCAGTCAATCTACATTCTTCACAATTGTCTACACAATTTGACATAATTACCTTTGGTAAGTTACCCACTAATAAATATTTTACACATGTTAATTATGTTGATAGCCTTTTGTTTCAATGAAATACAGACTGCCAGACCATAGGACAGGACTATTATAGGCAAGACTCACAGGCCACGAACCTCACTTTCCATGGAATTCAGGGAAAGCCTTGCTAATAACGTTATTAAATTCCATGATACTGAGAAAGAAGAGAGCATCATGGGAATGGGGGAGGGGAGGGGGTGGAGAGGGATTCCCAGGAGTTCTAATTTCAGTTCATAAAATGATGGTGTGTCTGTGGTGTAATAACTTTTTTCTGTTATTTCTTAAGATGTCCTCTTTTTTTAAAAAAATTTCCATTGAATAGTCACACATTAACAGAAAAGTGCTTGAGGCATAACTGTATAGATCAATGTAATGTCACAAACCAGACCCGTATGCCAACACCACTCACATCAAGAAACAGCCTGAGCAGCTGCAGCGCCCTTCCTTTCCTCCCTTGCAAGGTTACTTTGACCATGGCTTTTGTAAGAGAGCCATTTATCTATTTTTTGAGTTTTCTATTGGGGAAGTCAAATTGTAACTACATTTATTGATTACATGGTGTATGTCTTCTATTTTATTCAAAAGTATGATGTGAGGGTCATTCATGTGTTTATGTCTAGCTATAGTTCACTTGTTTTCATTGCTATAGACTCAAGTATTTCATCTTAAAGGCTATTGTTATTTATTTATTTTGTGGTGTTGGCATTGAACCTTTGTGGGTGCTAAGCATATACTGTACATCTGAGCTATACCAACTCAGCCCAATGCTGTAATTTATATTTTAGTTGTACAGTTCTACTCTTTTGCTGCTGCTTGCTGCTGCTGCTGTGGTGAGGATTGATCCTGGGGGCTTGAACTTATGTGGCAAGAACTCTACTGCTGACCTATGCTCTCAGTCCTATCGTGCTGCTCTTTTTTTAAAAAAAAAAGATTTATTATTATTTACATCCTGACCACAGTTTTCCTTCCCTCCTCTCCTTAGAGTCCCTAACCCCTACCACTACTCTGTACCCCACCCACTTCACCTTCATTTCTCTTCAAAAAAGGGCAGGTGTCCCATGGATATCAACCAAACATGGCATATCAAGCTTCGGTAAGACTAAGCACCTCCTCTTATATTAATTGGACAAGGCAACCCAGTATGAAGGATAGGGTCCCTAAAGCTGGCAAAAGAGCCATAGCCAGCCCCTGCTCCTACTGTTTGGAGTCCCACAAGAACACAAAGTGACACAACTGTAACATATATGCAGAGTGCCTACGTCAGTCCCATGCAGGCTCCCTGGTTGTTGGTTCAGTCTGTGTGACCCCCACGAGTCAAGGTTCGTTGACTGTGTGAGTTTTCTTGTGATATTCTTGATCCTTCTGGCTCCTACTATCCTTCTTCCCCTTCTTCCACAGGATTCTCCCAACTCTGCCTAAGGTTTGGCTGTGGGTCAAGGCATGTGTTTCCATCAGTTGCTGCATGAATACTCTCTGATGACAACTGGGCTAGGCACCAATCCATGATTGTAGCAGAGTGTCATTAGTCATCATTACATTGAATTGACTTTTTTTTCTTTTTTTTTTTTTGCCAGTCATGTTTGGTCTATCCTAGGTCTCTGAGCTATCCAGCCTCTGGGTCCTGGCCCTCCTGGCAGTGTCAGGGGTGGACTCCCTCTAGTGGCATGGGTCTCAGGTTGGACCAGTCATTGGTTGGCCACCCCCACATTTTCTGTGCCTCTTTACCCAAGCTCATCTTGTAGACAAAACAAGTTGTAGGTTGAAGGTTATGAGGCTGGGTTGGTTTTCCAGTCCCTCCATTGGAAGTCTTGCCTGGCTACAGGGGATGGCCAGTTTCAGGCTACATATCCCCTATTTCTGGGAGTCTTAGCTGGGGTCACCCAAGCAGTTCCACTAAAATCAGGAATAAGACAAGGCTGTTCACTCTCTCCATATTTATTCAATATAGTACTTGAAGCTCTTGCTAGAGCAATAAGACAACTAAAGTAGATCATGGGGATACAAATTGGAAAGGAAGAAGTCAAATTATTGCTATTTGCAGATGGTATGATAGTATACATAAGCGACCCTCAAAATTCTACTAGGAAACTCTTACAATCTGAGAAACACCTTCAGTGAAGTGCCCAGATACAAGATTAAAAAGAAATCAGTAGCCAGCCTTTCTATATAAAACAATAAAAGGGCTAAGAAAGAAATCAGGGAAATAACACCTTTCACAATAGCTACATATAATATAAAATATATCAGTGTCACTCTAACCAAGCAAGTGAAAGACCTGCATGATAGTTCTGTTCTTGATGATAATATCAGTTGTTCCCTTTTCAAGCTAATGTTAACAGAAACTTGCCTAAACATTTTTATATGTGTGATTGTGTCAGTTGCTTTAATGCATAGTAGAATGGATGAGTTATACAATATCCAACTGGCCAATGTAATGAATTAAGCCAAACAAGTTTCAAGAGAGACTATGCTAACATCTGCCTGCAGACTCAGTAGCAGAGATGAATGCTCTCTCAGCTTCATGTTCTTTCCACAACTTGCTCTTGCTTTTTTAGCTAATCTAAGGGATATGTTTTTGAAACTCACTGTACTTTAAAATTTTTCCCCCATATTAGTGAGGTTGAGCATATTTTCATCTTTGCTTATGTCATTTTTATCTTTTAAATTTGATTGACACAGTGAATAGGTTGTATTTATATATTTAGGAACACACACACACACACACACACACCAATTAAAGAGAAAGAGGCCATGAATTTGAAAGAAAGCAAGGTAGAGGGTAACATGGAAAAATTTGGAGGGAGGAAAGGGTGGGGGAAATGATGTAATTATATTATAATCTGAGAAAATAAAAGAGCTACTTGAAAAAAATTGACTTGAAAGTGCTGGTTATACATTCAAATTATAACCCTTTTAAAATACATGTACTATAAATATGTTCACCCTGGGACTTGCCCTCACACTTTTACTGGTGCCTTTTGATAAGAAGTTTTTTTTTCTTTCTTTAAAATAGCTTCTTTCATTTGTGTAAAATGCTTCTGGAGAATTAAGAAGATTTCTGAGTCTAAATTGCAAAGTCCTGAAGATCTAATCTTATCATGAACTAATTTCATCTTTTTGAAAATCTGTTCCCCTGCCCTTCTTCCTTTAGATTCACAGTCCAGCTTCAATGGTGTTTTGTTATGTTGTGTAGGGGTGGGTCAAGTTTTGTTTTTCTTTTTCCAAAGAGCAGAGTACCATTTTGTAAAGACTCAGTCCTATGTCTGTTTCAATAGAATTCTCTTTGTTATAAGTTAGGTGTTCATGCGTCTGACCTGTTTCCCAAGCTTTTTGTTTTGTCGCTTTGCCTAGATGTCTATCCTGTGCTCACAGCTTATTCTTACAGCTTTATAAGTGTTCTGCAGAACCAGAAAAGCAGGACATTCTATCTTCCTTTTCTTCTATAATGTTTGCCTTTTTTACTTCCACACAAGTCAGAATATGCTTTATAATTGACATGCTTACTGAAGTTGCAGTTAATGGTTTTATCTTTTAAAAATCTTATTTTTATTTATTGTTTTGTTGTTGTTGTTGTTGTTGTTTTCCAGACAGGGTTTCCCTGTGGCTTTGGAGGCTGTCCTGGAACTAGCTCTGTAGACCAGGCTGGTCTTGAACTCAGAGATCTGCCTGCCTCTGCTTCCTGAGTGCTGGGATTAAAGGCGTGCGCCACCACCGCCCGGCCTCTTATTTTTATTTTTTTTGCCATTAATAGTTAATGTGCATTTTCTCCATATATACTTCTATAGTTTAAGGAAAATGATGTTTAAATTTTCTTTGTATTTAATACAGTCCATTATTTTCACTTGATTTATTAGACTTTCTAAGATATCCAAGACAGGTTGATTGGAATTGATCATGAAGGCATCTTTGTCTTGTATCTGAGAGGAAACTTCCAATCGTTTACCAAGAATATGGTGCACCATAGCTTGTTTTTATTGTTTTGTTTATAGATATCATAAGCAGATGAAGAAGGAAACTTAGCTGAGATTTCCTGGTGTGCGTCAAGGCTCTGCTTAACAGTTGAGGTGGAAGGAGTGGCCTGTTTCCCCTTTACTGGGAACATACACACACAGAGAGACACACATATACACATAGAGAAACATACACAGATACACATACACACACACACACACACACACACACACACACACACACACACTCACAAGCACATACTGTCTCAGTTAGGGTTTCTATTGCTGTGAAGAGCCACAACGGCCATGGCACCATGGCAACTCTTTTTTTTTCCCATTGCAACTCTTATAAGAAAAACATTTAATTGGGGTGGCTCACTTACACTTTCAGAGGTTCAGTCCATTATCATCATGGTGGAAAACATGGTGGCATGCAGACAGACACGGTGCTGGAGAAGTAGCTGAGATTCTTACAGGCAGACAACAGGAAATGGGCTAAGTGTCACACTGAGCAAAGCTTGAGCAAAAGAGACCTCAAAGTCCACCCCCACAGTGACAAACTTCCTCCAACAAAACCACACCTCCTAATAGTTCAACTCCCTTGGGACCATTTTTTTTCAAACCACTACATATACACACAGAAGCACAGACACTCAGAAACAGACACAGATACACAAAGACACACGCATACGCACACACACACTCACGCAATCCAGGGCCTCATGTAGGCGAAGCAAGTGCTCTACCAACTGAGCTGTACACATAGCTTCTTACTATTGTATTTTTGAATACATTTAGGGGGCTCTATTTTTAGTAATAAAAAAACTATCCCACTTCTGTGAATCCTCATTGCATATTTAGAAATGCTTCAAAGCCTCATGGCTAAAACCCGAGAGGTTCAAAACAGAGCTTTTAATTTTTCAGCAAATATATTTATGATAAATTTAGCAGTGTCTGCAGACTATTGATAGAATTTAGAATGAGCGAAGTAAAGTAATTAAATGTGCTTAAATGGATTTCTGAAAACAGGTTCTAAAGAATGGCAATGGGACACTGACTGATGAATTCCTACCTGACCTGCCAGTGTCTGTGGTTCTGTTGTCCCTGATCGTGGTTGACATTATTGAGAAACTCAGGATATACCCTCTAAGAGGAAGTCAAAAGAGTAAGTAGCCCTTCACAAATGAACACTTACACTTACATTTTTATTCAGCTTTTATCTTTCTGCTATTCTGTTGCTTAATGAAACATTAAATGAGAGTGTTTCTTAGAGGTAACATCACTGAGAGAAGGCTGAAAATGAAGATACCTAGACAAAAATATTTTAAAACATACTTTGATACCAGTCATTATTACTTACTTGTGTATTGGTAGTGCCTACAGATTTGTAAAAATATAAAATATTTAATACCAATAAAGTTTAATGTTTACTCTAGTGAGAAGACATTATTGACGTATTATTTTAGAAATGTTCTTGAGTCCTTAAATTTAGAAGAATAAAATAAATTTGAGCCTGGTTTGATGATACACACCTTTGTTCTCAGCTGAGGTAGGCGGACAAAGAGTTGGAAGCCAGCCCGAGTTGCACAGCCAGACCCTGTCTCAGAAAACAAACAATGAAAGGAACAAAAAAAGTCATTTTGTTTGAAAACCTTTGCTACAAGAATGAGTGTCATAGCTGTAAATTCTACTTATGTTTTACAGAATTGCATATTTTAAATTATGGATTATAAAAAAAGCCAAAGTTCACATTAGTAAAACAGAGACAGCTGGGTGGTGGTGGCGTAAGCCTTTAATCCCAGCACTTGGGAGGTAGAGGCAGGTGGATCTCTGTGAGTTTAAGGCCATCCTGGTCTACAGAGTGAGTTCCAAGACAGCCAGGGCTGTTACACAGAGAATCCCTGTCTTGAAAAACAAAGACAAAAACAGAAACAGAAACAAACAAACAAAAAACCAAAACAGAGACAAACCATATTTCTACAAAATGAAAAGTTGAAAGTAAATATAGACTGACCTTTAAAAATGTATCTCATTAGTTGATTAGTGTCTTTGTTGAGACACTAATTCTTTCCAGCTCCTTTTATCTTCACGAGCTAAAGTGTGACTGGTATGCTGTATGATAAGAATAAAATTTTGTATCGGGAGCATACTTGAAATGGGCAGAGACTAGGAGGTCATGTCCCAATAGGTGGATGGAGTCAGTCTTCACAGTGACGAGAATAATGAATGACCAGAGACAGTCAGTCATTTATGGGCCACACAGTACCACTGTGCAGTCACTCTTGCTCTGGAAATTGTAAGGAAGACTGTCCTGTAGGCCACCAGGAAAGGAGAGTCTTTCAATTTACACTTTGTCTGTGGGTGGGGGATTGTATGCCATTATGTTCAACATCATACCAGTGACAAGTCAATAAGAGCCCAAGGGCTGCCACCTGCTGAGGGAAAAGTATCCCCCAAGCTCCATCTTCCCTCTAAAGTCAAGTGTCTCTATTTTAAATCTTTGGAACTCTACAACCTTTTTGCTCACTTCATCTCCAGCAGACTTGTTTTTAGATTGTTCTGTTCTTGAAGACTCTGTATTTTGCTTTTTGATGTAAATTTTCCATCCAACTGAAAGGTTTTTTTTTTTTTTTTTTTTTTTTAGAAAAAAAATACACCTCCGTATTTTTGTTTTAGTACAAGTTAATGGCACTTCATTGTCTATAGTGATGATTGGATCTTCCTTCTGTATTCAGCAGTGATGTTTTGGGAAGGGGACTAGAACAGAGCGAAACCCTGTGCTTCTTAGTTGGGAACCTCCCTGAGCCCCTTTCTGCCCAAACATAAGAGGGCTGACGAAGACATACTGTAATAGCTCTGCCATTCAATAATAAAGTCACACTTTGAAAGCTAGAACTTGTTCAAAAGACCTTTGTAAACATTAATGTTACATGCATTCAATATTTATATCAACTTTGAACTCACTCTACTCACTTTTGTATGCATATTAATACAGTAAATTACATGACTTTTGAGTCTATAGTGTATTCTCCTTTATCCCCTGGAACTTACTGCTTAAACACATTTGTTTTAAAAATCATTTTTAAGACAGGCTACCTGTGTAGTCCAGACTGATCTTTAACTCTTAATCCTCTCGCCTCTATCACCTGAGGGCTTGAATTACAGGTGTGACCAGTGACAGTGCTGAGGCGTCCAACAATATGACAGCATTCCGAGTGCAGTATTTCATCAAAGGTGAACCTCAATGGGAACAGGCTGCTGGTTCATGGATCTCTGTGACATGATAACTTCAGAGATATATATGATGAGAACAAATAAGAATACAATAAATGGCCCAGCTCTCATTTCTAGATGATTCTCCTATTAATGGTTGCACCTCTATCTTCTCATCCTCCACCATCTTGTCCCTGCTTCTACTTTAAGACTCATGCTGACTCCTTGGTGCTCTTACTTGGGTTCAGACAGTTGAATAACCACCACTTCTTTGCTTTCAGTGGCCATCTCGTTCTTGCTCTCATTTCAAACCCCAACTCCTTCCGAGTCTCCTGTGTTCTGTTTGTTGGTTCAGACTAGTGACTGCCCCTGAATTCCCACTTTAAGAATAGCTGTCTTTGATGTGTGGTTGCTCACCATACTCAGCTCCAAATACTGTTAGCTTTGTCCTTAGTGTCTGCAATGAACCTTGGTGCTCTTTCTATATTTTGGGTGGATTGGCTTTTTCTGCCAGCCTGGAATGCTAACTTCATCCACCAAGTTTTGCTTTCCTGGAGAAGTTGCAAATGGAAGATTGGAAGTTTATTTGGAAACACAGCCCTTTAGCTCCAGGTGCTAAAATACTGCCTGGGATTCAGGGATTTCAAGCAATGTCCATTACTTTCCACTGGACAACACACTGCCCCCTCCTACCAATATAACTAAAGCTGAATCTAGTAGAGTTAGATTCCTTTTGAGGTAACTTTACCTAGAGGATTCATAGGTCTTCTTAATTCAGGATTTATGATAGACATTCCATTGCCTGAATCCTAATGTTGTCTATTGTTTGATTCCTCCTCCTGCCTCTATCAGGATCCCTCAACTCTGTAGAAAGGGGAAGATGCAGATACAAGCAACAATATCCATGGCTGAGTGGGAATTTTCAGTCCCATTAGCAGAACTCAGTTAAGTAGAGTTTGTAGCTTGGTTGGATCCCATGTCACAAAATGTTAAAAGTATATTTATTGTTAAAGTGCTGTATGGCCTGTACTGTGTTGAACTACAGGTGAAGGAACACTCAAGTCATTTAAGGGGTTAGAGGTCAGCAGAGACCAAGGGAGAAGTCTGAGTTTTGCAGGGGTTTGTAGATAGATGTGAAGAGGAAACTTTCTCCATTGAGCAAGCTTGGACCTCAAGGAAGTCAAGAATGCCTGTAACCCATGGGCATGTTCCAGAAGTAAAAGTAACTTAATTTGATGTCACACCATCAGTCAACAAACCTTTTGCTGGAATGGAAAATGCTTTCTTAAAAACACCCATGACTAGTTTATCAATTTGTCACTTTGAAAACCTGAAAAACAGCTTCAAGAGCTATGGTAAAAACTCTGGGCACGAGGACTTGGACAAGGAAGTGAAGGAGATTTAATTAGATCGGAGGTCTCAGTCTGTGTCTCTGCTTCAGCCAGACAATAGGGCTTTTGTTTATGAGGCATTTTATATAATGTCCTGTCCGGAGATAGCAAGAGGTTTTTCTGCCAAAGGCTGGAAGACCACTAATCCAGGAGCTTTTTGGAGCCATAGACTGAGCCTCCTGTAGGGCAGTCCCATGACTGAAATAGACTAACCACTCTATAGACCTGGCTTTTGGGAAAGCATGGCTTTGTAACAGAAGGAGCCGAACACAAAGCCCCAACACACGGCTCCTGCTGCTCAGAGCCTGTAGGCCCAGCAAGGGTGAGGCACAGTGCTCTTGGGATCTTGTTACATATTCAGTTAAAGGAACTTATTTTGTGATTTTTTTCCCCAGTGTATGGTGGGCTTGCTATTCTTGTTATTTTGTCTACTACACTGCCATTTTTATTGGTCAAATAATATTCCATTATATTAATGACTCATGATGCATTTAAGTCACTGATTGCTGGGCACCTAGATTTGTGATGTATTCTTTTAAAATTTTTTCCTATTACAGGCATTCTGCTAGAGAAAAACGGGGGCATGGCTAGAGCAAGTCAAGCAGTGTCTGTCTGACTCAGGATGGAGAGACACATTGAGGGCAGAGCACTTGTATACTGAAGGTGGTCTGCTTTAAAGTGACATGTACTGTGTGGGAATTAGAAGCCAGGCAGTGAGGCGAATGGGCAACAGAAGCTGGGAACAGAAAGAGTTAAACGCCTCTGGGCTGTAGCCTAAAGATATCAGGATGATGACTACAGAGTGTCCTCAGAAGACCTGGAGCATCTGTTCATGCCCAGACTCCTTGGCAACCATGTTGCCAGAAGACAGCGACTACTACAGGCTGGCTGTGCTTACAGGGAAATATAGAAGGGGATGGTAAGCCAGTGTGGTGTGTGGCAATAGCGGTTGGACTGCATTAGAGCCTTCTGCATACCCAGAGAGGGCTTCCTGGAGATGAGGTCAGCAGGCTATTTGAGTGGAAAACCTCAGCTCTCTACAGAGTGGAGGCGGTGCCAGGTATGATGTTGGCAGGGTAAGGTTTTCAAATAAATCTGCTCACAAGGGCCCTAGTCCAACTCCTGTGCCCTCTTTTAAACACACAGTCCTAGGCTAAGCACTGCAGGGACCTCAGTGGAACAGGTCAATATTTCTTTAGGTTCCATGTTCCCATGTAGGATTTCTGATTCAATGTCCACATAAGATTGTAAGGTCTTTGTTTGTTTGTTTGTTTGTTTTTTGAGATAGGATCTCTCTGTAGCATTGGAGCCTGACCTGGAATTCTCTATGTAGACCAAGCTGGACTCAGACTCACAGAGATCCACCTGCCTCTGCCTCCTGAGTGCTGGGATTAAAGGCGAGCTCCACCACTGCCCAGCAACTGTAAGGTTTTTAATATATGAAGCCAAATTGTTATCTCTCAGAATGCTCTCAGTTAGTTCCTAAGCGTGCCAGCACACACACTCACCTTCTCAACTTTGTCTTTTATGATATTTTTTGCCAGTTCCAGAGGCAAAAGAG